GAGTCGGGGCTTGACTGGGCTCTGTGCAGCCTCCCTCCCCAGCTGCCAAGTGACTCATCCCCGGGGCTGCTAATTAAATCCAGGACAGAGGGGACAGAGGCAAGGGGAGGGGAAGAGAGAGAAGGCAAGTTTATTTTGGTTCCAACCAGGCACGCAGCCAGCTTAGGGGTCACCCACTTCCTGGGGCTAGGCCAGGCGGAGGCAGAGGAACACAAACTGGAAGGGGAGGGAAGACCCTCTTACCCCTTCTTGTCCCTCAGGATCTTCCTGGAATGGCACCTTCTTTGGGAAAATTACCCAACTCCCCCACACCATCCTCTTCTATCACTGTTATTCCAGCTGTACCCCCTCCAGACTCTTGTCCTTACAACTGGCCTCTCCTCTTCAGCACACTCTCATTTGGGCTTGCTGGAGCTGGCATATCTGTGTCTGTACCCTGCTTCTGTCTCCCCACCCCCAACAGACCACCCAACACAGGTATGGTACATAGAGAATGCTCTACGTGCTTCTGGAATACAACTGAGTTGACCCCAGTATACTGTGGTGACTGCACCTCTGATGGTCTGAATTCCTATCCTAGTTCTACTACGGGATAAATGCCTTCAGCTCCCTAAGATTAGTTTCCTCATCAACAAAATGACAAGAATATACACCCTCTAGCATCATTATGGACATTAAATGAGAGAATATAGGTAAAGTGCCCAGCATGGTGCCTGGCATATAACAGCTTTAGCTAACACTCAGTAAGTGCTCCTGCTGTTAACACCCCACCTCAGGCCCAGGGTACTGGCAATAACACAGAGCCAAGTTCCAAGCTTGGCTCCACCACATGGTACCTGGGGAACCTCACAGAGAACTGCCTCATATGTAAAATGGGGGTCTGTGATATGATACCACAGATGGACTGCAAAGATTTGAGCCTGTCAAGCATCTTGTGTGGAGCCCAGATCTTAGAAGCTGCCAGATAAACGGCAGCAGTGAATACTAAGGGCAGCAGGAGGAGCAACTCTGGGGTCAGAGCATCCCAGGAGGGAGAAAGTAGGCAGGGTGGACTAGGGCAGCCAGGGAAGGCTTCTCAGAGTGAGGAGGACTGGAGTTGGGCTCCCAGAGCCAGAAAGCTTTCAGCAGACACTAAGTGACAAGGTTTTCAGGCACAGGAAGTGGTGAGAACAGAGGGCTGGGGCAGGGCAGGCAACCAGGCTATGCTGAACAGGACTCAGCCTGGGAAGGGAAGACTCCAACACAGCTGGGTTGCCTCCAGGGACTGGTGGAGTCTTCGACTTGTGGATGGGGGAGCCTTGGAAGATCCCTGCAGTCTCAGCCACCCCAGATTGCCAGGAGGTCAAAACAAGGAAGCATTTTAGAGATTACCTAATCCAAACTCCCGTTTGGCAGATGGGGGCACTGAGGCCCAGAGTGGGAGGCCTCCTCTGGGAACAGAGCCAACCATGGCTCCTCCTCCCACTTCTCCTCCCAAATGCAGCGGGCTCCCGTTGCCATGGGGACATCCCTGGCTCTGTGGGTGTCAGTGGCTCCCCCACCTCCTCCCTCCTTCCCTAGCAACAGGCCACCTCTTGGGCTCTCCTCCTTGTGTGCCTGGCAACCCCAGCCCTGTCCCCAAGGCCCCCCAGTTTCAGCCCGACCTTCCCTACTGTGGCACCGCCTCCAAATCTGGGACCCCTGGGAGGTATTGGCCCCTCCTGCCTCTCCCCACACTTCTCCACATCTCTCAAGCTTGACCATCCAGTAAGAGACAGTGGATTGGGCGTAGAGGAGGGTGGAGGGCACTACAACGTATTGAGCACTATTTTATGCTGAACATTGTTTTACTTTAATTTCTTTCATCTGACCTGGACAAGTCAGAATCCTCATCCTCATTTCACCGGCCAGGAAACCAAGGATCAGAGAAGTTCAGTGACTTTGCAGAGAGCACACCGGCTAGGAAACAGGCTCTGCTAAGAGCTGGCTTTGTGAACTTGAGCCATCGCCCTCCAAGGGCCTTGGTTTAAAGTGCCTGTAGGCTTAACAACTTCTCACAAACCTACAGGAAGTCCGGGCACCTTCCTATGCCCACAGCCCTCGCGCAACACCAGCTGTTCAGCTCTAATTAGACTCCACACTTCCTCTGCCACCCCATACTTAGAAGCCCTCAGGCCTCCGTGGTTTTCAATCTACCTACCCTGCTTCCACAACTGCCAAGGCCTCGCTCCTCTCTTTGGTGTTTCTTCTCCCCCACCCCAGCCTCTCTCTTTTATGCACACACAGTGCTTATTAGAGAAAGACACTGGGGCTCCAAGGGATGAACAGATTTGTCCAAAAGCACATAACTAGAAAGTGACCTGCCATAAATGGAGCCCTTTACCTGGATCTACTTGCTGCCCTTGGTATGCTGCAGAGCTCAGCCTCCCCCCTCTAGCCTTCCCTGGCTCCCACTGATGACAGAAGGTATCAGTCCGTGTTCTGAACTTTAACATTAGCTCTTTTCCTGCCCGGATCTGTTTTTGCCCAGCCAACTGCGCCCCCCTGGAGTCCCATCCTCACTTCTGATGCATATTGGCTACATTCCCAGGGATGTGCCCCCACCCTCCACTGCAAAGCCTGCATGTCAGTCCTCCACAGCCCAGATCAGATTCTGCCTTCTCCAGGAAGCTCTCCCTAGACCCCTAGCTGAAGCTAGCTCAAGAATTTACATGTGGTCCTGTGAGCATTCTCACACAGCCCTGGTTCCAAGTTCAAGGGTCTACCAATCAGGTTTGCAAGATCTTCCCCACAAGTGCTATGTTTTAAGACCCTTCCACAGCCCAAGTGTGACCCTTGCTTCCCAACTGCTGAGTCCTCGAGGCTGCTGTAGCCTCCTGGGCTGTGGACACAGGATGGATGTCAGGAAGCAAGTCTCCATAAAACAAATGCTGGCTTTGGAACCAGACAGCACAGGGTATGAGTCAGAGTGATGCTACCCTGACCTATTGCTTTTCTTTCCTTGGGCAAGGCACTGACCCTCTGGGGAACCTCATTTTCCTCATCTGTAAATCAGGGATCCCAATCTACATCTAATAGGGCTCTTATGAACATTAAATAAGATCATGTTCAGAGTTCTTAATATGCGAGGAGCAAATGATAACTGCTATTATTACTAATATTAGGACGATGATGAGGATGATTATTATTATCTGCAAGGCTGTCAAGAGCTCCCACAGTGACAGCGTGGGCAGGGCTCCGGGCTTGGTGCCAGGCAGACCTGGGTTTGAATCCTGGCCCAGCCATCTATGAGTTGCGTGGCTGTAGGCAAAACCCATAACCAGCCCAAGCTTCAGTTTCTTGAGCTCTAAAATAGTGATGATAAGGCCAGCCTGGGTTCCACCTACAGTGTCACTAGGAGGATCAAATGAAAGAAAGTCCCTGATGACTTCTATAAGTTATAAAGGCCCAATACATGTCATCATGACTTATGATTATGATCATTAGTAAATACCCTGAGCTATAGGTCCCAGGAACTCCCCTGCTGGGAGAGCTGAGAGCTAGAGATGCCTTTAATAGGATTCTTCAACAAGTAGCAGGGATATCAGTGTGGAGGCCTATGATTGTGCTTGGAGCCATGCCAGGTTGCTTTTCTCCAAACCCACAGTGGAACAGTGGGACCCAGGTCCTTTGCTAGACTAGTGCCTTCCTAAATGCTAGGACAGGCTGTGCCCATGCCACCCTCTTTGGCTGCATCCTGGGACTAACTGCATCTTGTCATGTACTCCTTGCCTGGACACTGGGCCTGACTGCATCTGCCACATTCCCCTGCTTTCCTGTTGACACAAGTGTGCTCCCACTCCACAGTCCCGACCTTGGCCCTCATCAGTGCGCTCATCCCATAGCCCCTGTTTGGGATGCCAGGACACGGTGTGTCCCATTACACACTTCCATCTGTATGCTGGGATCCTCTGCCTCCCTCCCATATCTACTGCCTGAATGGCAGGACCTGGGTTGCCACATATGGTTGGGCAAGCTGTGCCCCGTACAAGGGTTCACAGCCAATAGGCCACAAGTAGGGGACTGAAATGGTATCCTGTGCTCTGTTCACTAAGCCGGGAACCCCAGTGAGGGGCCACAGTAGACCAATAGAAAGGGAACTTTCCTCCAACTGATCAACTCAGTGGATTCTACTCTTCACGAAGGCACTGTATATGCTAGTTACAATCCTGGCTGGGACTGAGTATACCCATCCCATCCCTTTGTTGCCTGGGCCCATCTCATCTCAGAGATCACCCCTGGCCTAGATGCTGAGCCTGAGCGAGCCTTATCCTGAGTCCCCCCACCATTCCCATGTAGACCCAGACCCCCTATCCTTCACACTTGTGTCTTCATGAAGCTTCTGATGGGTTAAGGCCTGGGAAATTCATAAATAGCCCTTTTCTTTACCCCCATTTTACTCCTGCCCCCACAAGTGGCCAACTGATCACACCCTGAAAACTTACTGAAGCTTGTAAATCCTTTTTACCAAGCATGTAAAAAAAAAAATGTGCACTTGGCACCATGATGTATGTTTCTAATGTGTAGACTGTGTCACATTAAAAGTCCACCCAGATCCCAGTACTCAGGGCTAGTGCAGTTTGGGGTAGAGCACCAACACTAGACAGAGAAGCCCCACTTCTCTCATACCCTCTTCTCCTGGAAGGAAAAGGTGGAGAAGGTCCCAGGTCCAGAGCCGACCTCTCTGCAAGTCGGCTTTCCCATCTGGGCAGCAACCATGAATCCCTCTGGGGTTCAGCCCAGCTCAGCCCAGAGTAGCTAGGGTCAGAAAGACTGAGGAACAATTTTCAACCCCTTTCCCATGCCTGCCACACTCACCCAGCCCTCCCAGTCTGCTCCATACCCATCCCTAATACCAACGGGACAAAACCCCTGGGGTTGGCCCCCACCCCTGCCCATGGATCCCCAAGTTAGAAATCAGAGGGCCCCACCCCAGTCCCTGCCCCATCTCCCAACTGCTACTAGAGAAAGGGGGTACTGACCTGACTGTCCTGGAATTCTCACCATCAGATCTGAAAGGGAAACAGAAAAAAAAAAAGTCAGCATTCTTCTCTGTTCTTCTCCCTGTGCCCTATGCAATGACCTGGTGGCCTAATACATGTTATGAAAATGAGGGGTAGGGTATCTCATCCAGAGAAGAACCAGTGAGAAGGCTGGAAGATGGCGAAGGGCCTAGCCATTTGTTGGGACAGTGAGGAGGACAGCATGGCTGGAGTGCAGTGAGCAAAGGGAGGAACGGTAGGGGGTGAGGTCAGGGAGGTGCCAGGAGCCAACCATGTGGGCCCCAGTGGGTCACAGTGAAAGGTAAGGCCCAAATCAGAGTGGCTGAGAGGCAGCCTGCAGCTTGGGCCAAGGCAAAGCCCAAGCTTTAAACCCAGAGAGACCTCACTTCAGATATTGGCTCTGCCATCTACCAGCCCTGTGACCCAGGCAAGCCACCCCCCTTCTCAGGATCTGAGCCTCAGTCTCCCCACTTGGAACACAACGCCAATCCTGGCAGGGCTGTTGGGATGATTAAGCCCTTTGGAACCCAGCAGACAAATACCAGGTATTATTAACAACATAGCAAAGGCTTCACCAATTGCCTGGTCCAACCTGCTTATTTTCTAGATGAACAGAATGAGGCTGAGAGGGTAAGTGAGTCAGCTGCTGGGCTCCGTTCTACTACACGGGCCCTGCCTTCTCCATTGTGAGGCCCCCTCAGAAGTGAAGGAACTGCAAGAGAAGAGAATGGAGTGGAGGACAGCTTTGAAGGAACCCAAGGGAATGAGTGAAATCTGAACCACACCCCTCTGGCAGCTCCTCCTCAGAGGGGTGTGGGGGGTGGGGTGGGGGGAGGATTGAGACAGTGAAGCTGGTGCCTTAGGGGTGGGGAAGGGGAGGAAGAAGGACCAGGGAACTTGGAAGAAGTGGGAGAGTGTAGAAGCAGGCTTTCCTATCTCTTTTGTCTTCTTCTTCCTCCTTTATGTGCCCCCCATCCCCTCCGTGCCTTTTCCACAGAGAAGACGGAGATAACACATCACAGGCTCTGTCCTCAGTGAGGGGAGCATCATCTATGCTGAGTGCAAAGCAAGAGATGGATGCACAGGGAGGGGAGGTGGGCCTCAGAAGGGAGTATTTGTTAGAAGAGTGAATGGAGAACTCACAGTGAGGTGGGGCAGGCAAGCATCAGGGTGTTGAAGCTCTGACTGGGTGAGTACTGTGCTCCCAGTTCTGCTACTTACTAGCCACGTAATTCTGGGAAAGGCACTCCCCTATGCCCAGCCTCAGCTTTTTCACTTGTAAAATGGGGTGTGTGTGTGTGGAGGGAGAATCCCTCCTCTTGTCAGGTAAGACTTGCACAGCATCTGCCTGGCACATGGTACATGTTCAGCCAAGGACAGTGGAACTCACCTTTGGCCTCACAGTCCTGTAAAGGGACAGATGACCAGGGCCACAGAGCACCTTTTCATGTTTATTAAAACTTTCCATCTCACTGTGCAGCAACACGATTGCTTCTGAGGCCTGGCCCAATTATTCACAGGTGCCAGGTCAGAGGGGTCTGACTTCAATGACTCCCCAACTGCCAACAGAATTGAGGCCAAGCCCCTCAGCCTCTCTCCCTAACACTAACCCTCTGCTCCAGACAGGCTGGTCTTCTAGCTGCCCCATCCCACCCCCAAGCCCCAGCACACATGGATTCAATCTACCATATACCAGACCCAGACCTGGAAATATGAACCCTCCAGGAACTCATGGACTGGCCTCCTGCCCCAATCTACTTTTGAGCATAAGCAACATATATAATCACCTCCGTCAGCACTGAGCACCTATATGTACCAGGCACAGTGTCAGACTCTTTCCCTACATTATCTACTTTGATCCTGCAAAGGGGGAACTACTCATCCAACTTTAAGATGATCAAACGAGGACTCAGAGAAGTTGAAATGATTGGCCACACATCATGTAAGTAGGGGAGCTTGGCATGAACCCCAAAGCTCGTGCTCTTACCATCACATGCCACTGTATCGGTAGCTCAGTGCTGGGCACATAGGTACTGTTAAGGTGAGTTCCCTTATCCGACTTCCCTAATGTCAAGACAGACCCTTCCTCTCTAGGGCTCTTTCTTCTGAGAGGTTATTAGATACCTATCTCTGCTCCAAAAGCAGGCCTATATGAGGTGTTACAGTCCTTAAGATGGCAGCTGAGGGGAGCAAAAGATCTCTAAGCCATGATGAGGAATGAATTAACCAGTTCTCCTCACTGTGGGCTGATTCTTACTAGTTTGAGGGTATATGGCATCATGGGACCCTAAATGTAGGGGGGGCATCCCACCTCAGAGGTTTACAGCCCTTTATGCATTTAGTGTATGATTAACTATGTGTAGATACCAATGATCATTAGTGCTGTGCTTTCCTACACCTCTCTGAGGGCAAATGCCCTGCCTAATGGTCAGCCTACCTCTTACTCCATGAAGCTGAGCCACCATTTTGGGGGAGGTGGCACAGACTTGGATAAGTCACTGCTGTCTGGACCTTGGTTCCTCATTTATAAACAACGGGGCTATGTTGGCTAAGTTCCAAACAATCTTCGGGCCCTAAAATATTTAGTTTCTTCAGAATGCCAAAGTTTCTCTTTTTTATCAACTGGGTTCAGCTGTCTAGATAGAGAGGCAAAGACGCAGGGTACCAGGCCTCCCTTTATCAATCCATGTCAGGAGAAGAGATCAATTTCTCCTGCTACTCCCACAGCCCTCTCCTAATGAAAGGTCACTTGGGACCCCGGGGTTCTCAAAAGGTTTAGCCATGCCAATTCCTATCCTCAGGAGCGATCCTCATAAACAGTAACTTATTGAAGCCTATGAGTATAGTGACCATATTTTCTGAACCAAAAACTTGGGCATGTAATATGACCAAGGATTTCTTTCTTTTTTAAAATTTTTTTTAGCGTTTATTTTTTATATATATTTTGAGAGAGCATGAGCTGGCAAAGGGCAGAGAGAGAGAGAGAGAGAGAGAGAGAGAGAGAATGAATCCAAAGCAGGCTCCACGCTCTGAGCTGTCAGCACAGAGCCCGGTTCAGGGCTCGAACTCACAAACCGTGAGATCATGACCTGGGCTGAAGTCAGATGCTTAACTGACTGACTGAGCCACCCAGGCGCCCTGACCAAGGATTTTTCTTAAGTGATTTCTACCCAATGTGGGGTTTCGAGGACAACTGTGAACAGGGCTCCTTCCAGCAGTGCTCTGAGGGGAAAGAGGTAGATACCCTGGTCCAGGGATCATACAGGTCTCTCCAAAAGCTGAGAACCGGCCCAGGGGCAATGAGGCATCTTCTCTCCTGGACATCACCTGGTCTAACTGCAAGTCTCTCCAACGGAGAACTCCCTTCTCATTGCAAATCAGTTGACGTGGTTCTCCTGCACCAAACATTCAGTGACTCCCCTCAAAGACCTCCCTGCCAGTCCTGCCCAAACTCTCCAAAGCTCTCCATCTTACTCCGCCTCCTACCTACTTGTCTAGCACATCTGGTATTTGCTACTTGGAACACTCCTGCCCTTCTTTTATGCCTTTTAAAGTATTTTTAATTGTATTAGAGTGATACGTGAAATAGTTTAAAAAGTCAAATTGTAAAACGATCTTAACACAAGACTCATTTTCCACGTTTTTTTCTGATTGCACTTTCGTATTTCTAAAGTATATGTTCGTGCTGCTAATCTGTTTTTGAAACATATTTTCTTGTGTGTCCTTTTACCATTTTTTTGCCAAAGTAATACACATATGTAGATTTTCAAGTCACCCAGTACTTCAAGGATTGTAACAAAACACACAAATTTCCTACCCTACCCCCTTTGCACCCCCAACCCCCACTCTCAGGGACAAACCCTTTTCAACTCTTTTAACCGCTTTTTCAGGTATTTACCTCCTCATTTCTAAAGAGCCCATGTGTACATCTAGCTCAATCAATACTGGTAGCGGACATTACTATGACTATATCAATACTAATGATGGATAAATCGTATCATATGCTATAACCACATTTCCTTTTCCATGCAACTTTTTCTTTTCTCTGGTGTTGATGTTGTTGATGGTGATGATGATGATGGTGACGATGATCTTGCTTGCTTAGTTTTCTTCATATCTATGATCAATTCTCCCCAAACTCTGTCAGAAGTGCAATTCTCCTCTCAATACGTTTTGACACATCAGGTAATCTATCAGATTATTTTTTCCCCCTCTGAGACATTGTCCCTAGTGCAATTGAGACTGGGCGCTCTCTAGACCTGAACAAGGTTGCACTGAGATCTTCTCTCCTCATCACTCTGGGTTTCCTTTCACCTCTCTTCAGTGTTGGATTTCCTGGATCCCTTGGCCTTTCTTCTGACTTTATGTCCACATTTTGCTGGAGCACATTCCCCAGTGCTCTCTATGAGGCCTAGGGCATAGAATCTTTAGATCTCATATGCCTGAAAATGTCTTTATTAGACCCTCAACCTCGATCGATAGTTCAACCAAGTATAGACTTCTAGGTTGGAAATTATGTTCGTTCAGATTTTTGAGAACACTGCTCCATGGTCTCCTACCTCTCCAGTGTTGCTGTTGAGAAAGCCAATGCCATTCTTTTTCTTGATTCTTTGTGTGTCATATTTTTTATCTGGAACTTTTCAGGATCTTCTCTTTAATGCCTGGTATTCTAAAATTCCACAGGCATACATTGCTGTGGTCATTTTAACATTTATTTTGCTGGTTACTCAGTAGGATTTTCATTCCTTCAGTTCTGGGACATGTTCTTGGCTTTGATCACTTTCTTTGATTACTTTGTATTATGGCTTTGATCACTTTCTTCCTGCTGTTTCCTCCATTCTCTATTTCTGGAACTCCTAATGTCGGATGCTGGAGTTCCCCAATTGATCCTCCAATTTTCTCATCTTTTCTCTTCTGTTGTCTATTTCTTTGTCTTGTTATTCTGCTTCCTAGGATATTTCCTCACCTTTTATTTTCTAATCCTTCTGTGGAAATCTTTATTTTGACTC